GCGTTTGTTCTACAAAACCTAGTTTTCAGAACCTAACTTAGTTCCCAGGCAGGGCCCGGCAGGAGGTGGCATTTCAGGATTTTGAAAACGATATCCCCTTTGAAGTTAAAATTTCTTACGACTTCCCTTTTGACCCTATTTTTGGCCCCCGTAAGTCCCTGACAGTCCCGAAGTGCAAGCTGGTTGGCATGCAACGAACTCGTAACAGCTGTCTTGCCGCGATTCAATCGCGACGATCAAATCGCGTAAACTCTGTCGAGTAAGGGATCGTCCAGACCAGAAACACATTGAAAATATGGGTCTCGCTGATCCACAAAAATATTGGAGGCAATGAAGGAAAACACACAAAGAAAAAGCGAAAAATTACAAATGTACAAAAACGAATGCAAAAATTCGATGTCATGTAACATATTTGCATAAATGCACCATTCCACCTACCTGAGATAGTCCGAATGAGCCGCAAATTGGTGACCTGAGTGCGACGTGCTGTAGTCGAAAATTCTGACATGCATGTCATCTGAGCCGAACAATCCAATTTCTGCGTGAAATAAACTTGGCAGCGCGCACTGGCAAATCACATATCTGAAGAATGCGCAAGATACTGGATTGAAACATAGTAAGCAACATAAGGCCCCAGCCAGATTTCAACTGAACAGCCCAGAACCGCTCAAAAACACCAAAGGCCCCTTTTCACGACGCATACGTACAAGAACACCTGGCAACGCTTAACTATTTGCGGGATAGGAACTCATCTTGGATGAGCTATCTTGAGCGAAGTCTGGCCGGGGCCTAACATACAAATACATGAAAATTCAAAAAAATAAACCTACTTTGAAAGATTTCAGAAGCAGCTGACTTTCGTAATTCCTTATCTGAACGCTTCCATTATAAAGAGCTGCCAATAGCCACGTTTCCGTGGGATGAAGGTCCACCGACTTTACTCGACTCGATCTTGTCAAAAACATTTCCTCAACTTTTGATGACAGCATACCTGCAACAACCAGAATAAAGAAAAACGACGAAAACAAACGAACCAAAAGAGCGAAAGTGCGGAGAACGACCACAATGCGAAAACTGAAGAAACACAATCACAAAAACAACTTTTTGTATAGAACATCACGACCAAATATGATCTCTGGCCCTTCTGAGCCCTTGTAGGGCTCGTCGAAGAAGCAATCTATTTAAAAATTGCGAAGATTGCTTCAATCAGCGATCACTAATTAAGCAGAAAGTCAAATTCTCGGAGTTTCCGCGTCGTCCGTGCAAGGTGCACCGATTGCGATTGGAGCGCGCTTTCTGAGGCCGATCATAACGCTGTGAACCCTATTTGGGGCTGTATCGAAGCGGTACCTTGATGGTTTTGGAAGCGGATTTGAACATATAGTAATACTCTCGACCTAGTCCACATTTATGTAAAGAAATCTGGGAAATTATGTGAAGGGAAGCAGGGAGCCACCCCAGGTGGCTCCCAGGTGGCGCGGGAGCCACCTAATTTCGAAAAACACTTGCCATTTTTTAAATTCACATAAGTTTCTCATAATTCTTCATACTTTTTTTGTGCTTATGGTCCTCCAACTATACAGCAAATTTGGTGCCATATCGTTACTTGTGCGTTGAAAACGAGCCTATTTTGTTATTTCCCTCTTACAAGAATTGCGATTTGAATTCCCGCCTGCGGGGAGGCTAGCGATCGGAGCACAGAATCTTCACATTGCTGGAATCTAAGTTCATAGGACAGTAGCATCAACAAGGAAAGTTGAATAAAGAATGACATTGTTTATCGGTAAACAAAGGGGAAGTCGTATTGTGGGGTTCGGGGCTCCGCCCCGGACCCCAAAATACGACCTCCCCTTTGCTTTTTCGGGCCAAAAACGATATCCAGCTTGTGAAAGCGCCACCCCCGCCGGGCCCTGTTCCCAGGCAATTTTCCGATTTCCAAAACAAATTTTCAAAGCGAACATATGTGCCACAGTCGTTAAATAACATAAACAACGCCTATGGTGGTCCACATCGTTAGCAAATTTCGTTTCAAAGTTTCGAATGCAATTAAATAGCCCCGTCTGCCGCATTATGTCGTTGTTTGTCCCCGGATTTTCCGGGACAAGGTTGGGAGCAGAGCTGTGGGTCCTACAACGCAAATTTTTGAGAAGCTTCTGTTCCCTGGTGCACTCATTTTGACGTCAAGAATGTGTCAGTCGAGTGTAAAACTATCCTCTTGGCATGTGGCTCTCGTTAAAATTTCGTTCTTCGACTTCGCAAATCGTTCAGTTGGAAGAAATTACGAACTAAACGGCAGCTCAGCTCATTTTATTTAATTGCTGGAAGTTCGCTATTTTTCTCTTCACTTTTTTGAGCAAATCATTGGTTTTTGCTCTTTGAATTTTTCTTGCGATAATTGGTCCTTTACTAGTTTTGTTTATCCTACGAAAAACCACTTTGTCAGCTGAATTTCACAAAAAATGTTCTGTTTACGAAGAGACCTCTAAAAAGCTGTGCAGATCCGATTACTGCATCAGCTCAATTCTCCGCTTTCCTTGTTTTCTCTCAAACTTCGTTGGATTTGTGGCAAAACGCTGACAATATGGTCAGTTTGGCTCAGCGTTTTCTTAACCCCCCCCCCTTTTCCCAATTTTTCGTTTTATGTACTTTGCTGTGTAAGCAGCATAACATAGAAAAGTCAATTTACACGCTTTCGTTATTATTGGTTACTGAAAAAAAGAAAAACCGATATTTAGCCGACATATCCCTATAAAATTTCATTATCGACAATCCTGCTCACTGCTTTTCCCCTCTTCTTATTTTGCTACAGTTTTTTGAAACCTCTGATTCTCCATCTTCTCCACTCGCTGACAAGTTGATCCACCTGTCAATCTAGTGTGAAAATGAAAAATGTTCAGCCAAAATTACAACACACCCCGCAAACAGCTGTGGAAATATCAGTCGATGAATTAATGTCTGGCTGGCAAAATCATTTTTTGCTAAGAAATCGTTGGCAAAGGTTGTTCTTGCTTTTAAACCTTAGCATTGTGCTTACTCAAACAACAGCACATACTCAGACAACAGACCCGAACTTCCGCGAAACCTTTGGGAAAGTTCCGCCGGGTCAACCGCGGAAGTCCCGTAAATGTGCTGCGGAAGTTCCGAAGAATGCGAACCACAACAGCAAAAGGGAAACACCTGAGCGAGATCTTAATTTTCTCTATTAACTTCTTGACTTACTTACTATCCTCTGCACTATGAATGACAGTTCGTACTGTCATGTCAAAGTGCTGCGGAACCGTTGGCCTTTTTCGGAAGTTCCGCAGCGCTTTGTAAAAAGTCGTGCGGAAGTTTCCAATTTTGACGTCTCCACTTCTACCATAGTAAACAAAATCCTGGGTAACCACTGCAAATTTTGCTTGTCTTGCGGAAGTTCCGGGAAATTGTCTGAGTAGATGTGATCTTCAAAATCCTGACATCCTAGTGTACTTCTTTTCCAATGTTTGACTTTTAATCACTTACAATTTTGAGTTTAGGTTAGAGAGGTTTTTTGAAGCTTTTTTCAAATCAAAAAATGGGCAACAATTTTGCTTTTGTTCTGTTCGAAACTTTATTTAATCACTTAGATTTGTTGAAATAACGTCAACCTTGATCCTGCTCTATTTGGACCTCTACGATAATTCTCCGTGATTATGAATTTTGCAAACAATTTATCTGTTATTCCGTCTTTGTTCAAAATATTTTAATTTTTATCATCTCATCTTTTGAAGTCCTACGTCATATTCGGGTCTTTCTCATGTTTGTGAAAAGATCGAGTATCGGAAGTAGCAGCTAATTTTTATCTCTCCTACTTTGCCATGATGAGAATCTCCAAAAAGATTTTTATGAGTGAGTTCCTGGATTTTTCTAGAAAGCATATAAGCCTGATTGGAAAAAAGGTTCTGACCACAAGGTTCTGACCTTTGGCCACAAAATGATAGATGATTTCTTAATGACGAAAAGAAGCCACCTGCTCAATTTTTTAACTATAAGTAAAGTTTATGTATGTCGCGACCTTTGGAAGAGGGGTTGCGAAAATTTTCTACTTGTTCCGCTTCTGCACTGAATTTAGCTAGTATTCTTTGAAGTGTTCGTCTCCTATTCGTCATGAAAACATATTGATTGCTGGAGATTATTCAAATCTCTCATTATCGGGCACCTGGGCTTTCGAGTACTTTACAATCTCAGCTGGTCTCCATATTGTGCCATCATGCATACTTTATGATGTGCCGTCGGAGGCGTTCCACCTACGGGCTCGCGACTTAGTGCAAGTGGTCAACCCGGATTCTTCAGAATTCGATTTCTAAGCTCATTTTCTATTTCCAGAACTATATTTTAGTCGTTACATAAGTTTTGTTACACACAACTAAAAAAACCTCTTCACTTTGTCGAATAATTTTTCTCATCTCCAAATTATGTGTAGTGTTGCAGATTTTTGATATACACATGTAACATATAGAAAAACAATTCTGGAAAAATTTTTGAAATTTTTCCGAATTATTTTTAGCAAATTTCCAGTTTTGTTTACTTAAAGAGTTGAACTTTCATGCTGCCTTAGTATTACTATTAATGCTTCCAGAAGTTCATTAAAATTTCAAAAGGGTGGAAAAGAAGAATATGAGAATTTTTGAAAAATTAAAAAAAAGGAGATTGGAGTGTCTGTATAGAGTTGCCTTTATATTTACTGTAACTGCCATGTCTTAAGGGCAAAAGTGATGTCAACGGTTAGCCCTAAATCCCTTCCTAATTTATGCCGAATTTGAGACCTTTCCGAGTCTTCTAAAGTTTTTCAGAGGGAGACGATGAAAGTGTAATAAAACTTATGGAACAACCTAATATTTCAAAATTTCTAGCCCTGCTGCTTTGATACACTTTGTTTTTCAACAATTTCCACTTTTTCAGAGTGCATTTTGTCCGCACTACCGCTTATTCGTTTCTTTACGGAATCAAAAATGTTTTCTAAGCTTTTACTGAATTTCAGATTCTCGTCCGAAATCAAAGTTGCTGACGAAAGCTGCTCTCCAACGCAGCCGTGTGTAATGCGTGTCATTGGAGTGGAAAAACTTGAAATCTATCGCTGCTGTTACTAACCATGCCTGAGGTGAGTCATTTTATGATTGATCTACAATAATTGCAATCTATAGCTGTAAAGTTGTACGGCTGCCAATCCCACAGTCAAAGATGTCCGGTAAAAAGAAGGGAATTAATTCGAAAGAGATAGAGCCCATATGAAGCTTCGCTTTTCGTAAATGGAAATAGAGGTAGTTATATACAAAGTGTGGTACTATATCAATGTTGTGTAAGTGGAAATTTTTGCAAGTGAATTACTCTAGCTGTTTTATTCCTGCCCTTAGACGAAGTACAGGAACTTTAGAACTCTTAGAAATCTATGGAGACAAAACTTCATTGGTATACTATAAGGAACTACTTAGGAACTGAACTTTAAATCAGTGTGGGCCTGAGTTTAAGGTGATTTGTGAGCAAGGTTACGTTTAACTTTTTTTGCGTTGAATGAGCAGTTGTGTAGTATCTGTTGCATAATCTATAGATTCAACCCATCTCACCATTCTTTCGAAAATTGAACTTTTATTTTGTAACTCTGTACATGGTCGAAGTGCTACCCTCTAAGGCATGAAATCCTCATAAGTCATGAGAGAAAACGGACAGTGAGAAATTTTTTCCGTCACGACTTAAAGGGCTCGGCACAGTTAGCAAAGATTCAAATTATATATCTTATTTGGGATAAAAAGTAAAGGCTATCGTTATGGGCAAAAAGACACAAAATTTGCGACATTTTCTTCGTTTTGTTTTTTTTAGGGTTTTTTACGTCCAGGGTTTAGAACGAAAATGACTTTTTTACATTTTTCACGAAATTTATAACGTTTTATAGAAAAGCTCGATCAGCACAAACCTGGCACTGAAACAGCAGCTTATTTGAACTTTGTGAGGCAAGTTAGCAAATTTTTCTGCAGCGTTCCAGAGTTTATTTATCGAAATCCGGGAGTTAGAGTGTATCTTCTATTCGAATTCTTGTCTCTTAAGTCCCTTGTCGTCAAAGATCCGCAAAGTATTCATTAGAAAGTAGAAATTTTTCTATTTGGGAGTATTTTTTCAGTAAATACGTTCATATAAGGAACAGTTACGAATTTTTTGAAATCAAAGCGATGGAACTTTCGGTTCAACCTAATATTAGGTTGTCCCGAAAGTTTTGTCTGTTTCTTTCAACGCTCACTAAAAGCAACAGAACACCAGTCCATGGACGGTCTAGGTATCATTCGATTTAGATCCTTATCTTCTTACTTACATCTGTATTTGCTTTCTAATCTACGTTTTCCGATGCTTTCGCCATGGCTTTTTGAGCGGCTCAACAGCTGCAGCGGTCAAAGCTTTCTAATTTCGAAAAATTTTCTCCTGATGTTCTTAAAAAGCGCTAATAAGTGTTATATAGAGCAAATCTTTGGCTACATTGTGTCATTTTAGATTACATGGGCCACGTTTATTAAGTACCTAATAATTATTTATTTATGAAAAACCGCAACCTTTGATTATGTCTACCACGTAAGATTACCGAAAATTCCAGAAAGCTTATTTTTTCTAAGCAAATTCTTGGTTATGTTGCTTAAATAATTTCCATTAGCAATCAAGTTTCAATTAGCAAAAACTTCAAAAGATGACTGCCAAAAATCGAGACCTCCGAAGAAATAATTTTTCAAAAGCTAAAAACAGCAAATTAGGAGAATCCAGATATAACACCGTATATTCCGAGATTTGCTCTACTTGCATCTTACTCAATCATTTCCAAAACTTTGGAATACATTTTTCAAAAATTAGCCGAAGTTTGAGCAGATAGAAATGACGGATAAAGAATTTTGGCAATTATCAAAATATGAAAATGTATCCATACAGAAGGAAAAACTGCATCGAATGCATGTTGAAGCTCAATCAGGTCTTTACTAGGCATGGTTTTATAGTGGTTTGAAGAAACAGATAAACTTTTGGGACAACCTAATACATCACATGTCCCTTTGATTCAACTGGCTTGGTGGTTGGAAGCTGGGGTTTCGTGACCTAATTAAGGCTAGGTAATGATGGGCATGCGCGCGAGAGACGCAGAAAGCGTCGCCGGCGAGCGGCCTTAATTAGGTCACAAAGCTCCGCCTTCCAGCCGCCATGCCAGTTAAATCAAGGTTAATCTCTATGTCCCGTCTACATAGCTGCTTATCTTGAAGTGGAATTTTGTACTTAGAACTGTAATTACTCACATTGTTGGCCTGTCGTCACGTAGCCTGACAGAAGTTGCCGTTGTTTCCTTTCCTCGCTTCTGATATCCACGGTCTTTTGGGTTGTCGTTCCCAATTTTACTTTGACATCACAGAAGATTACAAGATACCTTTTATTTTGTTTAAGTACAATGACAATTTGCAGCGAATGATGAGTGGATGAAAGTAAAGTAGAGACAAGTGTAATCGGAGGTAGCAGCAAAAGGCAAAAAATGGGCGGTTTTCATATCATCGAGGGCCATACCAAAGCAGGGGGGAAGAAACTTGATTCAAGGTAAAGGTAAATTTATAGGCAGAGCTGGAACTGAAGAGTAGATTGACGTGAAAATTTTGCAAAAGGAGGTGAAGAAGGAAAATTATGACATTGTTTGATCCGCGCAACTTCACTTGTTTCCTGGTTGCGTGACAGCAAATTTCATCACGTAATTCTCTCATAATTTCTCACACTTTTCTTGTGGTTGTCATCGCGAAGGTGCACACCAAATTTGTTACTTCAATATTGCCAGTCAGTCGTGTCAAGCTGACTGTTAATTTTTTGTTCATAAAGATTTTGTTTCAACACTTTGAAACAGTGTACACACGAGCTTATGCAGAGGATCGTGTTTCTAACGTGTTGATTTACCCATAACAGGTGAAACGATGGTAGAGCTCCGAATTCGGGCTTATTAAGAGTTAGGGTTATGTTCGCTAATGTTTTTTCAGATTTCCGGGGATCACCCCCTGCTTTTACGAGTTCTCTTTTTGTCTCCTCTCAAGAAGCATCCAGCATGTGGAAGCGCCACCTTTGCTGAGTTTTGACGCCTGTCGATCTCGTTGGTGGTCTTCTTCGGGGACGTTTTTCCGAGGAATCTACTCTGACGTCCTTAGTCTCCATCTGTCGAATGTGACCGGCCCATCGATATTTCGCTTTCGCGACGTATTCCGCGGATTACGAAGACGGAACACTTTTTTTTTTTCATATTCGTACTGCGAATTCTGACAAGATGTTGTTTGCTTCGGTTCATCCTCAGAGGGCTGCTGCGCTCAAGCGCTCTGTGGGTGGACTGTAGAGCTTACGAAGTGTTTGTATCGAGCCAGTTCTCAGCTGCGTAACAGAGCGCCGACAAAATGATTGAGTCGAAAAAGTGAGCTCGAAGCTCCGGATGTGTCAGATGGTCATGAGTTCCTCTAGTGGGTTGAAGGCGGCACAGACTGCTCTTCTTCTCCTGTTAAGTTCTCCTTAGAGTCGTTCTCGAACAAGATGCATACACGGAGGAAGACGTTTACATAATGGGAGTGCCTTCCAACTTCATATCCGCATCTTTACAGAGGACGTTCTTCATAAAAGTCTTCTTTCCGACTTCAGTCCAATTTTTTTCGTACTTTGTTCAGTTCCACAGTATCGCTTCCACTGCAACGATACTTCTTAAGAGAGAAGACCTTGTCCGCGAAACGAAGATGTGAGAGGAACATCAACTCGTATGTCTCTCTTGTCCCACTCCAGTGATTTCATGACTTAACTGCAAGGCCGCGGGTTTCAGCAAGATTGTATTTCCTTGTCGGCTCCTTATCCTTATTAGAATGATCAGGAGCGATAGTCTAGCTGCAATGTTATTGTACAATCTTTGCATCATTCCAATGTCCTCACATAAGCTGGGTCCACTCCTTGATTGATTAGCGCTGACAGGATGGCGTTGGTTTCGACTCTGTCAAAGGCTTTCTCGTAGTCGACACAGGTAAGGACGAGAGGCAGGCGGTACTTCGGCAGCTTCTATGCCCCTTGAAACCGTCTGGCTGTGCTCCATGCAGCTGTTTCCCCTGCGAAATTCAGCTTGTTAGTAGTGGGCTTCACTTGGTATCTTTGACGAGCGAAGGTAATATTGGTAAAAAACATGCACTGCACACTCAGCAGGCATATTGGATGGTAGTTCCTGATATATTCTCATTCGCTCTTCTCGAAGGAAAGGACGGACTTTGAGGTTCTTCACTAGTCGGGAAGCACTTTCTTTCTGGAGAGACGTTAGTTGCGATGCGAGAATCTCATGTAGACGGTCCTCCGACTCGCAGATTTTTGACAGAGGTGTGGTCCTCGACTTGTGCACGTTTTCATGGTCTGGATCGCAGTGCATGCCCACTTCAGCAGGTAGAATTTGTGGCGATACATCTTTTTAGTGGGAACAGCGGGCCCCGACACTGGCGTTGATGAGCGGAAGAGGTTGATGTTGAAGTTCTCCGCGACAAATTCCATGTCTTGTCGAGAAGAAGTCGGTTTTGAGTCTTCCTTTAGCAGAGCAGCCAGTCGTATGTGATATTTGTAGAAGTCCCCTCGGCACTTCTTCAAAATTCGTCTTCTTTCGGCTGCTTTTAGTACTTTCGCTCGTTTGAACTTCCGAAGATCCTTCTGCAAGGCTTTCGTGCATTTGGCGATGGCTATCAGTCGCTCGAGATGGGTCGCACTTGGATCCTACTCTATCTCAGAAATCTTCTTCTTTCGAGCATTTCCTTGGTGGTCTTCGAAATGCGTTTCATGTTCTTCTCAGAAGTCACTGAGGCGCATTCTCCGCAGGCTCGCAATCCTTTCAGAAGCTGGTCGTAGTCATACGGCGCGTCCTCCTCGATGGGCCAGTCACAACTTGATATGAGCTCTTCTAACCTGTTTACCTTCGTAGACGACTTCTCTCTTTCTTGCGGCAGTGTGACAGACTTTCTTCTCTGACTTTCGGCTGAATCGTATTTTGCTTGAAGGAGGCGGTGATCGGACACTGCAGAAGGATGGAACTATTGAGACATCAAGCAAGCTCCACTTCGAGGTGAGAATGGTCGATCTTTGCGTGAGTCGTTC